GGGTTTGTTTACTGCAAAGTCGTCTTCATCCGCCTGAAAGTGAACTCCNGGGGGGGGGGATAAAAAGATGAATTCACTCCTCGTACCCCACTGAACTGAATAAGTCTTTATCCCTTAAGAGGTAGGGAACAGTTTTACGTTCTGATCAACACCGGTCCAGACTAAAAAATTACTCAACGATAGTACTAGTGGTACTCAACGATTTCATACAAGAGAATCTCGAAGATCGACTAATAATCAGGTCTTTGAAAGTATTAAGCAATCGTTCGAACACTTACAAGTAATGTCTCTATAAGGTCCTTTCGAGGACGGAGCTTCAGAAGCGGGAGACTAAGCCGAATTGAACACATGCCGCTACGGCCTTCATATGAACACACACCAGCACACCTGGAAAATTGCTTTTAATAGTGTGCACAGCTAAAAAGGGGCAAGGGCATTGAACTCACGAGAACATCCGCGGACTCCATTTGACCTCACATTGAGCTAGTGTGCCTTCGAAAAACCGATCATTAAAATCGACGAACAGGACATGAATATCTGGGCATGGGTCGGACAGTTCGAGAGCTGGGTCCACCACATTATATGACATGGGAAGCGCTTTTCAGCGTGACGCAATATTATCTTCTTTATGAAATTCTTCCTGCAAACAAGAAGATATCGTCTCTTTGAGTTTACAACACAAAAGTAGAAAATATATCCATCTACATTCCATAACGCCATTTTTTACATTCAGTAAGAGGTATAAACTGGTTATTCAACAGATCGGGAGCCACAATATTGACCCTCAAACACGTGATCTAACAGAATCAAGCATTTGAAAGCTTTCTTTTTCGCAGGTAATGTGTTCGGAACCGAATAAAAAGCGAAGTCCGGGCAAACTGCTGTGAGTAGATCCTGTGGTACTGAGATTTGACTTTACCGGGCAATAGCAACTATATTTGTGCAACATATCTCTAAATACGAGTAAAACGAGTAAAAAACTCCATTCAATTATTGGCAGAAGAGCAGTTGGAAAATAGTGCATAGATGGCGTAAAGTACCGCGCATATGGTCAAATTCAGAATACATGGGATTTGACGTTTTGAAGACAAACTGTTCAAACTTCCCTAACTATTTATCCAATTTTTTCATGGATAGTTCCATTATTGGCTCCTAATCGTCTTTAGTATGGTAATATTTCAGTACTGCATGATGGAATGGACGTAAAGTTCGTTGTCACTCGCTATCGCTATGGCTGCTAACTCAAAGACGCTAGAAAACCACCCGATACTTGGTACAGCAAAGTTGCGGCAAGCTCTTACAAAGACTCGTAAAGTGAACACTCTTATAAATGCTGTGAAGAAGTTTCAAGAAGACAATGGCATTAAGGTGGGTGTGGAGCAGAGGAGTACCAAGTACTATGTTGTATATTTTTCTATCCAGATGGATACCCTCCCACCCGCTTTACAACTATTGGATTTACACAAGATCAAGCGGCGGGACTTTTACGAGCAGGTACTTTGCATGTAGTGGCGTTCTGCCGTTTTGCTTTAGATATGATACAACAATTGATATAGTATTGGCCTTTGTAAACATTTGTTGGTTTGGGTTTGTTTACTGCAAAGTCGTCTTCATCCGCCTGAAGGTGAACTCCATAAATGGTCCCTTTAATGGTCTTACAAAGTGAAAAGTGTATTGGCAGAAGTAGTCAGTTTCGTCTGTCAGTTACTTCCTTTAGTAGGTATCCAGGTTGGGGCTTGTAGATGAACGGAAGTACTAGGTTAGCGGAGAATGTTCCGCCATACTTTTTGAATCAGGTTTATCTGTTCCCAGTTTATAACAACGGCTGAACGGCAACGGCAATAGCAGACACGATTGCACTGCTTCTCTCATAGCACTCAAATGCTGTGTAGAAACCTTTTTGCAATATGTAGAGCGATTTCGTCCCAGACCGTCAGCATCCGCACATATCGCACTTTTCTTCTACCCCCATAGCTCCCAATGAAAATTGCCGAGTTCAAAATAAGGAGGTTGCATAAGATCCTGAACCAAGTCAAGGCATTTGCTCCCTAGTACAAACACTTTCGAGATGAGTAACCATATCCTTGAAGACGAAAAAAGGTTTGGGCGTATATCTCAATTCAACTCTAGTTAGCCATGAGCCAGTGAGAGTGAGCGACGTATATTGGGTTCCCTCCCAACTACGAGAGGATGGTGAGCATCTTGGAGCTCCATTTCTGGCATCATAGAAGACTAGACTAGACAATGAGTTCTTACAATTGTGAATGTGCTTGTTTAGTTTGCTCACAACTCATTGCTTGCAACAGAAACCACTCAGCTTGTCATTTTCCAGTAGTTTCGTATATTCTCATTTGACGCATAGCATTGTAGGCCGCCGCTGACATATCAGAACAAGTCGTTGCCCGGATTCGCGCTCTTGGTGAGAATGGTTCACCAGAATCAATAAGGAAGTTGGAAGAGCAGCTTGAAAAGTGTTTTGACTTGTTCCCTCTTCCTCAATTCCGAAATATTGTGCTCGAAAATCTGAAGCAATTACCAAAGCTCCAAGATCGGTACGTTTCAGACAAGATTGAGATTCGTTGATTCGAAATATGTTTTTCTTGCTTGCTGTATCATTGACCAGGCATTTTTGGGTACTTTTTTTTAGGTATCTCGATAGCATTATGCATGATCGTGATTTCTATGACGCATGCCCTCTTTCCGTGAAACAGCAAATTTGGCTGCGAAATCTCGACCTGTTCAAAGAGACATATCAGCCGGCAATTGATTCATACTTGAAGTTGGTTCAAGTAATATCTGGGCTTTCTCGTGTTTACTTAAGACTTCTAATCGTTAAGCCTTCAGGCGGAAAGAAAATCTGTTGTTATCTGCAGAGCCGACAGCTACCAATTTTTTCACCATCGAAACTACCAAAGCGCGACGCCAATGGCAAGAAATCAAAGGTATATACTTCACGATTATTTTGTTTATTTTAGGGACAAAGTCGAATTCACATACCTATCAAAGGATTTCAGATCTGATTATGTTTGTTGGTAATCATGATGAGTTATTTTTGGCCGTAATGACCTACATCAGGGATTTATTTGCTTCCACCGGTGATGTCATGCTTTGTTCTCTGAGGTTCGTTTGGTGCACTGGGCCACGAATTGGCAAATATCTCTTCAAAGAATCTCACAATAGACCATGTGCTTTGCATCTCAAAACAATCACTGTTTTTCAGATATGAGTTAATTATGGCTGCTCACGATGCCAGCATTGAAGGCATAGTCAAAGCAGGTGTGATCTTTTTGTATAAGTTCGAAATGCACATTCTATCGTCTGCACAGATCTTTGCCACGACTTCGCTTGGTGTTTGGAAGCGTGCATGCGAGATAAACATTTGGAAAGCCATCAGACAAATAGGCTTCGCCATATTCTTGACACCTTCCCGAAATCTTCACATGAGGTGGGTTTTTCCACCTACAGGGATTTCCCTCAACGGCTATTTCTTTTTGGTTTTAGAGAGTCGTTGATTTGGCAATGGTAGCTGGAGATGTTCACGTGGTTCACTTTCTTTGTTCGGTAACCGTGAGGAAGTTGAGAGACTCGGTAGGTTCTGCAATTCCGTAAGAGCGTTAGACTGCAGTAGCTCTATCCAACATCCTCTGCGATTCCTATGTTTTGCCACTAAATCGAATGCTTACGGTGATTTCTTCGGCCTTACTTTACTTCCACCGCGTGATGCTTCTGATTCCTGATTACGATTACGCCAACTTAGGTTTCCCACTGCTCTAAATCAGAAATATTGAGTGTTTCCAGTATAAAACAAAATTTTTAATACAGCTGTGTGTATTTACAGGCAGGATCTCATCTACCGCGTGACTTACACTCGGTAGTCATTCTAGTACGTGTGTTGTCACTTGGGTGTTTTGCAAAGGTTTGTCCTCTTCCACGAATTTGATCGTTTTGCTTTTTTTCAAATACTCCCAAATTTTTTCTGAAAAAGTTTCCTTTCTGAACAAATAGGTGATATAGAGGTGACAGCTCATGATCTGTCAAGTGCTTATTTTATAGGATCTTGCATTGAAGAAGGTCCTCCCTACTGAAGTGGTAGATCCTATTTTCATAACTAAATTCCTCCCTGAATTCACTTCTTTGATGGTCGAAGACTGCATCAGAGCG